TCAGAGAAAGTGACACTGGTCATATGCAGTATAAGATCAATCAGCAAGGCAAGGGGTATCGTATGGACTTAGAGACAACCAGGGATCCCCAGCTATGCCCGGTGCAGGCTTTGTCCACCTTTATGGAGGATAGGGGCACTTGCCCAGGCTACCTTTTTTGGCATGGTAATAGGTCCTTGCTGACACAGTTTTAGTTTTGGTTGGTTAGCAGACGTATTCTGGTGGACAGTGGTTTACCAGCCTGGGAGTACTGTACCCATTCATTTCGCATTCTACAGCTAGAAGGTTAGGGATGCCAGGGTAAGCAATACAAAGAATCAGCATATGGAAATCCAAGGCTTTCATGAGTTACATTAGATAAGCATTGTAATGCTTTGTTCTGCAGATGCAGGCATAGTGAGGAGCCCAGTCAGATTTCTTGTACTGGGAGTTCCATCATATTCTGGGCAAGCAGAAGGGCTGCCTCCAGTGACCTTGGGACACAGTTGGGCTGCTTCCCTCTTGCCAGTGTTCAATGGTGTGGCAGAAAGGACCTGGGCAGTTGATAAATTCAATAAATAAATCAACAAACTCAGGACTAGAGGCTTCTAAGAGGAACAATCAAGGAGATTGTATCTCCTTTCATGCCTTCAAAAAGATGGTGAGAAGGTCTCCCACTACTCAAAAATATGCTCTCAGTCAGTTCCAAATGAGAGTATCAGTTCTAAAGAATTTGAGACACTGTCTCTGTTAATAGGTTGGCTTACAAAATTTTTGAAATGGATTTAAAGCAAGTTCTTATCAACTGAATTAAAAGATGGATAGATACACTTACCTCATTTTCTATATCATTGGCCGGAACTCCCTTTAGTTTAGCAAATGTCTTTAAATTTTCTTTCACTGTCAAAAATTCAAATTGAACATTGAATTGTGGACAAACAGCACTTATCTTCCTGATTTCCTCCATATCTTCCCGTTTGGTTATATTGTATTTAAATATGGTGGCAGAACCTGAATATATAAACAAAGAAATGATACAATGTTGAATCACTATGTGGGTATTTGGATAAAGCAAAGGTATTCTTCAATCTGCTTGGGACTGTTGAGTAAAACTAAAGAAACAAGGTCACATCACATTCAGGTCAGCAGATGGAGACAAGTTAGTTTAGATGCCAGAAAGAGAAAGAGTCCAGAGTCAGACCAGAAGTTCTAAGCCACCTGAGTTCTAGGACATAACTAATACATTATGGCTTCTGCATGGGGCCTGGTCTATACATGTCACAGAATGGGGTGGGAAAAGTAAAGTTCTGAGGTGGTAGAAGGGACTGTAGATCACATTTTTGAATGCTTCATCAAATGAAACAATTCCTTGCAAGCTAAATCCTCTCTGCTTTTGGTATGGGAGAACATTCAAAAATGGTATTCCTTCTGCAGCCTGAAGCAGTACAGTCCGTCCTAACACCTAAGAACTCTGGCACCACTAACACACAAGAAACTGCTGTTCTCATTGTTTTGTTTCTTATTTCTGCTCAGTGAATACAGTGAATACAAAGACTTTTTCTTCTCTGAAATGTTATTAATGGCAGACAACCCAGAAAATCTACAGCAACTAATACTTTTCTTGCATATATGGGGAGTCCACAAGGTATTCAGAAACCCATCGATAGGCACTCAACCATCAATCCTGGAATTAGAGAAATGGGGGAAGGGAAATTTGGTGGAAATTCCGCCAAAAAACCAAATCTCCCTTTATAGAAACCTTTAAGTTCTTAAAATCTTGAGTAGCCCCCCTCCCCAATTATCCTTTTCTTAAATCATATATTCTAATAGCCAACAGAGGGCACCGTGCGGATACTTAGACTGAGGGAAAGGAAGCTCCGTGGGCCTCAGAAGCTTCTCCTACATACCTAGCATGCTTCCATTATGTGCACAAAAATCGAAAAAGTGAGAAAATCGCTCCAGGGATGACTGAATTCCCCCTAAAACCCTTTGGGCTCTGCTTCAGACACCAAAGGTGAGAGAGAGGTTAGAACGTTCAGGGGGGGGGAGAAGAGGCTTCTAACCGGCTCTGTGAGTCAAAGGGTGTGGGGGAAGGGCCCTTTTCCAGGCCTCCGTTGGCCTTTCAGGGATTAATGACAGACATCTTACCTGAAGTGAACTTAAAGCTGTTTATTCCAGCCTATTTTGGTTATGAAAAGAATTTTTTCAGTCATCCCCTTCCATCAAATCTAATCTACTTTAAGGTTCCTCTGCTTCTAACTGTCTGCCAAGATGTCTTATCCAATTGCCCTTGCTTTGTCAATCTACTTCCTTCTTGTGCTACTGTTCTTCAAGTTCAGTGGCTGCTACTATCTGTGATACTGTTTGGGATCTCTCCTACCAATTCTCCCATAGACTTTAACATTAAATATGGGTACCTTTCATTGCCTGAAAAAGGGGCAGTGTTGGTGTCCTAGGAGAGTGTGTACAATCTCTCAGAGTTTGTACCATTTGGATGGAAAACCATAATGATATAGACCCAACAAGGCAAGGGGATCCATTGAAACCAATGGAAAATAAGACTGAAACAGAATTATGAAACAGAAACAGCAATAATGAAAGAAACAACAACGAAACATAAATATATGAAATAACTCAATAATGAAACAGCCTGTTTTGAAATTAGTAACAGAACTAAAGGCACATAACAAACTCCCCCACAGAAGTTCAGTTTTTAACTCTTCCTCTCTGTGAAGTATGGTCGGAACTGGCATACATACACTCACCTTAATTTCACTCTTTATTCCAAGATACTATAAACTTGGAGGAGCTCTGTACTCTTTGTATAATAAATAATTCTGGCATATGTGATAGATCAGATGAAGCACTGTTGTTTCAAGTCTAGTCTTTGCAGGACTCTTTCAGCTTTGCAGATGTCATCTGACCTTAATCCCCCCCCCCAAAACACTGAAGGTGTTAAGGGTCTCGAGGAGGACAAATTTCCCTTCTCCTCTCTCTTTCCCCTTTTAACTCAATTCCCCTCAACATTCAAAGTAACTCATGGCACATGTCTCTTCATTCAGTGCTTGGAATGGGTCTTATTTTTAAAGTTACAGGCTAATACTTTTCTTTATGTTGTCGAAGGCTTTCACAGCTGGAGTTCATTAGTTGCTGTAGATTTTTGGGGTTGTGTGGCCATGGTCTTGGCATTCTGCTTCTACAATGCCAAGACCACGGCCACACAACCCGGAAAATCTACAGCAAGTAATACTTTTCTGCATATATGGGGAGTTCACAAGGTATTCAGAAACCCATTGATAGGCACTCAACCATCAATCCTGGAATTAGAGGGAAATTTGGTGGAAATTCCACCAAAAAACCCAAATCTCCCCTTATAGAAACCTTTAAGTTCTTAAAATCTTGAGTAGCCTCCCTCCACAATTATCCTTTTCTTAATTGTTAACTGATTTTCAACATTCTGTGCCTCCTGTAGCAAAAAGGGACTTGCACATCATCAGATTATTTAGGGGGAGTCCTTCTTTTTAATTTAAAAAATCATATCATCATGAATGGCTGGCATTTAAAAATTCCTGAGAATCCATGCCCTGAAAGTGGACATTCAAAGCATAGTTATGTCAAAGGAAGTCTGATTGATACTAATGAGTCTCAGTAAATATGATCAGAACTGAGCAGACAACGTGCATCACTGTGAAGCTTTGATTCTTACCAGCAGATGGTTTGGAAAGCCCGCTGAGAATATTTAGTAGTGTCGTTTTTCCAGCACCGCTATGACCAAGAATAGCAGTGATCTGACCTTCATAAATATTCAAGGACAAGCCTAGTATACAAAAAACTCTGTAAGTACTAGAAGTGACAACGTAACCTTAGTTTCATTTTTATTTTTCTCTAATCCACCTCAGCAACCATCAACCCCTATCAACAAGAGTTATGCAAGTATAAATCTATTGAAAATAATTAGTCAGAAAGACCTTTGGCCAGAATGAGCCAGTTCTCTGGCAAGGCGGGATACAGATTGAAAATAATAAATAAATAAATAAATAAAATTGGCCAACTTGAGAAAGTGCTGAAGTGAACACAAGTATCTTCCTGAAGACCTCTGTGTTAAGGACAGTGCTTCTCTAATGAATTTTTAACAAAATGTCTTCATCATACTCATTTAGAAATGTGCTTTAGATTTTTAATTGATTTATTTAAGAAGGGAATTAAATCCTACTATTCTACATACAGGATTCTGTTGGTTGGAAAGTAAGTGGCATATGAAGGACCCCAACAGGGAAATGTCTTTTAGAATTTTAGGGAGGAGAAGGACTGGATTCTGCTGGGCAGTAGTACATTGCACTGGTTCTGCTGGGCTTCCGCCCCCAGTTTGGTGTAGTGGTTAAAAATGGCGGACTCTAATCTGAAGAACTGGGTTTGATTCCCCACTCCTCCACATGCAGCCAGCCGGGTGACCTTGGGTCAGTCACAGTTCTCTCATATCTGTTATCTAAAGAGCAGTTCTCTCAGAGCTCTCTCAGCCCCACTTACCTCACAGGGTGACTGTCGTGGGGAGAGGAAGGGAAGGAGATTGTAAGCCACTCTGAGTGAAGGGTAAGGTATAAAGCCAACTCTTCTTCTTGCTTGCAATGTGATTCTGCGCTAGACATTAGTCCTATTGAGCTAACATTGCCACAATAACACTAGGTTTTGCTGGGCACTAATACATAGCATTGGTTCTGCTGGGCTTAAAAAAATGCCGCCTACTTTCAATTTCTACTGCAGAGATTCTCTGGGACTTTGATTCTGTTCTGCTGGGCTTCCATTGTCCTTTTTTTTTTTTTTGCTTCTTTATCCCTGCATTGGAAACAATGGAGGATGGGGCACCTTCTTTTGGGGGGGGGGGGCATGATTAGGACCCAATAAATCCAATCCTCACCAAATGTGGAGGTAGAGGAGAGTTAGCCAGAGATCCCCCAAGAGTTTGCTGTCTCTAGCATGCTGGGGGAGGGGGGTGGCAGTTCTACCACATCACAAACTTCACAAACCAAACCAGTTAGTTTAGCTCATAAAAGATTGTGACAGTTCATGGGTCACAAATCGGACATGCCAGACTATAAACAGAAATAAACCACATTTTCCTGGTTTGTGCCCACCCCTAGTTATAATTAACAGCTGGGGCAGAGAAACACATATGTTAACTTCTGAATCACTTCACTTGCTCATGTTGCTAAAATAGATTCCTATAGAGATATATGTCTGAATATTTATTTTGGTTGAACAAAATTTCTGCTTTTAAAAGAAAACCATTGTATTACAGCATTTTGTTAACTTCTTGTTCCAATTTCCCACTTAAAAAAAATAAGGCAGGGAATAATTTGTCCCTAATATGGGGCTACAAGCTTAAATTAAGCTGTTAATGCATACTCAGAAATGTAGTTGAATGGTGACAGCAGAAAGGCAGTAGAGAGGGCCTGAAGGGTGTGTGTGTGTGGGGTCAGTGTAAAAGGCCCTCTTTGAAACCACTTCTTTGGCAAAATAGGTGGTACGGGAGTTGCAGGCTCCAAGATCTTCCATACGTTCTGTCTACCTTTCTACAGCTTCCATGTTAGCACAGCAAGTTGGGTGTCTGCAATATTAAACCTTGGCTGTTAGTAGAAAAGCTCTCTGTCTCTCTCTCTGTCTCTCTGTCTCTCTGTCTCTGTCTCTCTCTCTCTGGAACTTGTTCTGTTCCCCAGAGGAATTCTCCTACTTTGAGAGCCAGTGTTCTGAGAGATTATCTTCTGCATATTGCTTTTTTCATGCAATTCCTTCCCAACTCGCAGTTTTCTAAATAAAAGGGATTGAGCAAAGTTGGCAGAGGATCCTTCAAAGGCTTCTATAAACTGTTTAAAGAGTGCAAAATACCAAAGGGTCATAGCACCATCTCCTGCTATAATTTTATTGCACAGGTAGCAGGGTTGTAAACTATTAGGCTGCCAGATAAAGAAACACCAGTGAATTTTCTTAAGCAGTTCATCTGAAAGCTAAAGGCTTTGAGGAACTTGGGGGGAGGGATCAGGTTTTTTTTAAAATAGGTAGGAAGGAGAAAGCGATCAAAGATATCTCACCTCTCAAAGCTTCTGTTTTCATGCTCTTCACTTGATATGTTTTTTTAATATTATTGATTCTAGAAGATTGAGATGCAATTCATAGTTGGTACATTATTATAATCGTCACTCAAGCACATTATTTCAAAAGGAGAAAGACCTAGCCTTGTCTGACTTGCCACTGTTTCAAATTCAGTCCAGATTTAGCTTTTTGTATCTCACTACAATCAAGAAATTGCAAGTAAATAGGTACCACTTTGGTAGGAAGGTGTCAGAGTTCCGTGCACCTTGGCATTTAGTCATGCTGGCCACATGACCATGGAAATGTCTTCGGACAGTCCTGGCTCTCTGGCTTGGAAACGGAGATGAGCACCACCCCCTCGAGTCAGATTGGACTGGCTTACGAGCAAGGGAATCTTTTACTTTTACTTACAATAATTATATGGTGGGTAAAATACATTTTCCTCTGGTTTATGCTCATCTGGTTGCCATTCTCAGTCTAGAACCTGATCCTCAGACCTGAATCTTCTTTGTGTTTTAATAACAGCAATATGATGGAAAGTACAATCAAGTTACAGCCAATTTATGGCAACTCCATTGGGTTTTCAAGGCAAGAGACAGAGGGTTTGCTATTGCCTGCCTATACATAGTAACCCTGGACTTCCTTTGGGCTCTCCCATCCAAGTACTAACCAGGGTTGACCCTGCTTAGCTTCTAAGATCTAATGAGATCAAGCTAGCCTGAACCATCCAGGTCAGCCCTAATGGCTCATACCAGCCCAGGCTGATCTCATCAGAGCTTGGAAGCTAAGCAGGGTCAACCCTGGTTAGTACTTGGATGGGAGACCATCAAGGAAGACGAGGGCTGCTCTGCAGAGGAAGACAATGGCAAACCAACTCTGCTCATCTCTTGCTTTGAAAACTCCATGAGGTCTCCATGAATTGGCTGCAACTCAGTGGGATGCTTCACTTTTAACAGCACTATAATTCTGTTTGTTTTCCTTCCAAAGAGAGAAGGACAATCTTCACTGGAATCTTATGAAAGCAAAAATGAAATACCTTTGACTGTAGGGAGTGGTCCTTGGAGTAAGGACAAGTCCCAGAAGTACATCCCCTTAAAAACCACAGCATAACAACCTATTGATAACTAGCATTTCCTATCCAGTCTATTGTTTACCTGATGGATTCCTTCGCATCAAATTCAGGAGATACAGATTCAACATTATCGCTGAAGATATTGCTATGGCTTTGTTCATGAATATGACTGCTTCTTGATTTAAACCAGTAGGACTTCTTTAGGAAGAATAATGGTGGATAAGGCACTCCATATTTGTCTAGTAGTGATATTAAAAGACAAATCATTTGAACATTAGAAAGTATAGTTAAATCTTCCTCTTGATGTTTAATACTATCAGGTTTCACCACTTCTCTAGGCAGTCTCACTGAGCATTGGGAACAGATGTTAATTGATTATTCCTAGCTGGACCTGAGCAGAAAAATCAGGTTTTTCTTTTAACTAACTGGTGATTTTGAAGGGGGAAATATGTGAATGGAAACCTGGGATAGGAGTCAGGCTTTAGATATGGCTTCACAGTGTTTACATTTGGGCAATACGTCCATATTCAGGATATTAAACTGAATTTATAAGCCAAATCTGAAGGAAGACTAGTCATTAAGCATCAAGCATAGTATTTTCATTCAATTTAACAGATAGATTAAATAAATATGAAATATGATATTTGATCTGGTCTATGAATTTCTTTGGATACTGACATGCATGCATATGATATTTAATCATTTGTTGGCAGTATGCAAGTTGCAGATGGCTTTGGGGCTGAGCAAGAATTTTCTGTTTCAGGCCATGACAGAGTCCTTTCTTTTGCCTACTTCATACTGTACCAAGCAGTGAAGACCTCCATAAATAGGCCTGATTAGAGCAGACAGGTAAGCTCCTAATTAAGGCGGTTGGTTTACTGAGGGTTGGCCATTAAGTTGAGGTGATCAGCAAACACCCTGAGGTATCATATGATGAAGGGGCATTCCCATTACTGTAACAGCCCACATTCATTCTGTGGTAGGCTGGGAGGGAATGCTCTTGGTACTCAGCAGCATCAACCAAATCCTTAGTATTCTGTGTAGCATGTTGAGGATTAGGGGTAATGCTTGGGACCTCTCAGCATAATTCATCAGCAGGCAGGGATAACCAAGGTCAGTGACAACAGTGGTCAAGCCTGGAGCCTGGATGGATTTGCTCAAAACACTGCTAGGCCACTGGCTGGTAGGAACCTGTGTTTTAGGGTGATTCTGCACTAGACCTTAGATCCTGGTTCAGCCCCGTCCACGAACTTATATTCTACACTACACTTGAGTTCACCCCTGTAATTATCTCGGGGTGAGATAATTAATTGAGGTCACCCCAGTTTTGTCCCACACCTGGGATAAACGGATGCTGTTATAACCAGGGATAAATGCAAGGTATTGTGTCACGTGTTGAACTCTGATGAAACCAGGGATGAGATCCAAGTGCGGGAAGGATCTTAAGAGGGCTGACCCTGTAAAAGGCACACAGGTTCCCTGTGAGGCTTCATCCTGGGGCTTACGAACAGGGCTTCGAACAGGGCTTCCTGCTAGGGGAGTTGAGGCATAGCAGTTGGGCTTCACTCTGCATTCATTTTTTTAATTTTTTTGATATCAGCCTATATCTATTCAAAAGGAGCTAGTGAGGAGTCAGCTAGGGAGTACTCCAGTTTGGAGTTTAAACTCTTTAATTAGGATACTCCTTTAGCTTAGCAGTAAGTGACCTTTCGCCTCAGCAATGAGGCTGATAAAACTAGCCAGTGGGAATGTGCACATCTGATTGATGGGCATTGTTGTTGTTCAGTCGCACAGTCGAGTCCGACTCTTCGCGACCCCATGGACCAGCTCTCGCCAGGCCCTCCTGTCTTCCGCCGTCCTCTGAAGTTTGCTCAATTTTATGTTTGTTGCATAATGTTATGTTCATCGATGGGCATACTTTCCTACATTTTGCTTCCAAGCTCTAAACTAGCTATAGTTAAAATATGAACTATTTAACACAAACCTATTATTTTGTTTTTGTCTTTTCTGTGGCTGTGTTGTTACAGCTTTTATAGTGGTTGTGTTTTGCTCTTAACAATCTCAGAGCTACCAGTATACAGAAAGGGCAAAGGCTTCTGCAGGAGGAAGGGATGTCTCTCTATACGTGATGCCAGATGCATTTTTAGAGTTAAGCTCAAAAGCATTTCAGCAATAAGTTCTTAACAATTTTAATTAGCAATTTGATTACTATTTTATTGAACTTTATTGAATTTTATTGTTTTCTTTGAAGAGGGAGTGAATATAGTCGGTAGAGTTCTTATATTAATTTAAATTTTATTCCATATACATAATTTATTCACATTTGATATTGTTAAGTTGGTGGCAATTGATTAAATATTTTGACTTGGAATAAGTTAGAATCAGCCATAAAATATTGAGTTGGGAGATTCCAGCTGAGATTATAACACCAAAGCAAAGAAGTCTTGGATTTGTGTTTCCTTCCCATCCAAATAAATTTGATATATTGAATTCTGACAGCTCTCTCCCTGAAACCATCAGTGAAGCCTCTAACCAAGAAAAGATAAATACTGATTTACAACAAGGGAAGAAAACTTTAGACTCCTTTATTAATTATACTATTGAAAATATGATGGAGGAACCACAGTCTGCCCTTAAGCTTAAAACACAGGCAACACAAACTAACTTATCTGATGCTTATAAATCAAAGTTTTCGGTAAGAAATAGTCTCTTGAGTTCTAATACTAAATCCGAAGTAACACAAGTTAGTCTTTACTGAAATAACTCATCCCGTTTAAATGAATGCACCATGTCAGCTGATTAGGATATATTAGCTTTCCATATGTTGTTAGCAGCAGAAACTCTTCAAAATATCTTTAGCACATTAAAGACAATGAGTAAGAATATAAATGCTTTACAATCAGTATATTCAAATTATTATTAATATTTATTTATTTATTACATTGAACTTGCTAGGCTGCCCTTCCCTGCAAGCAGGGCTCAGGGCAGCTTACATCAAGTAAACATAGTGATACTCCATTAAATAACAATTAAAAACTACTAAAAACAATACACTTCAAACAATACAACTTCATTATTTAAGTTGGCAAAAAATTGTTCTGTTCCCACCAGCTCCCCGAGTGAAGGGGTGTGGAGGGATTGGTAGGAGGTATGAGAGTGCCAACCGTCACTGTCCTCAACCGAAGGTCTGGCGGAACATCTCTGTCTTGCAGGCCCTATGGAAAGGTAGTAAATCCTGTAGGGTCCGGATATTTTCAGGCAGAGCGTTCCACCAGGCAGAGGCCAGGGCTGAAAGGCCATGACCCAAGTCAAGGACAGCCAGACCTCTCTTGGGCCGGGGACCACAAACAGGTTCTTATTGCTGGAGCATAACGCTCCAGGGACATATTGAGAAAGGTGGTCCCGAAGGTATAGTCATGAAACCCTGTGTTTTCACAAAAAGATCCACCCCCCATTTTGAAACTGGCAAAATCAGAAACTCTTTCCAGTCCAAAATGGATCTTTCCTTGGAACCTAATAAAATTTTAGTACATATTTTCCCATATAATAATTCATATCTCTTGGGAAACCAAGTGGAAAGCCAGGGACTACCTAAGCTGTCCATTAGGGTTACCAATTTGATTAATTGATCTTGTTTCTACCTATTTCCTGCCTGGTTCCCCAGAGCATGAAAGGATTATTCTTACTTTTTGCCCTGCCAGCTTTCCTAGGAAAACTTTAGATGCAAAAAACTTTTTTGTCAAGTATGGAGTTTTCCCCACTCATGTTTTTAAAGATAATCAAAAGAGGCCTCTCAATTTAAACTATCTGAAATAAACTGGGTTCGAGACGCATATAGTGATCAGCTCATAGTTTGTTAGTGATTTCAGCTTAACTCTAAGACAACTCTAGCAGGGCTGGAGCCTTGCTTATATGCATGAAGAACACCACACCCCACATACACTCACTCCCTGTGATAGGCTATTTACAAAACATTACTACTTGATTGGTTTTTTCCAGAGTCCTGGTCTGCTATTGTTCTTGTGCTCCAAGCTCAGCCAGTCTCTACAGTGATTCAGTCAGGGATGGTTCAGTCCCAATACATAACACCCCTCCCCCCTAAGTTCCAAAGCATCTAACAGACATAGTCTCTTAGGTAAGCTGGTCTGTGTTGCTCCCTGGCTGAGCATCACACGATGGCTGAAAAGGAAAGCTGTGAGCCGGTGATCCCAATCTCCATGGATGATCTGCCAGAGGGACTCCTTTCTGGTCCTCACCATCCTTTCAGCTTGGCCGTTGGTGGCCATTGGTGGCTGGGAGCAGACTGGATGTGCCTGATTAGGTAGCAGCCCATGAACTCCTGGAATTCACCTGAGGTGAAGGCTGTTCCATTGTCTGTCACAATGGCGTTGGGCAGGCCGTGGGTGCAGAAGATCTGTCAGAGGGCCCGAATTGTTGCCTTGGAAGAGGTGGGGGAGACTGGCACCACTTCTAGCCATTTGGTGAAGGAATTCACCAGAATGAAAACAATCTGTCTTTGGAAGGGCTCCGCAAAGTCCAGATGTAACCGGGACCATGGTTTGTGGGTGGATTCCCATTGTTGCACCAGTGCCCTGGGAGGCTCTGGTCAGGTTTCTTGGCATGCCTGGCAGCGCTTCACACAGTCCTCAATATTGCTGTCCATGCCAGGCCACCATACATAGCTCTTGGCCAGTGCCTTCATCCTCACAGTCCCCGGGTGTGTTTCGTGCAGTGCTGCACCACCCTCCGGGTGCTGGCACCACCCCCCGGGTCCCCCACACCAGGCCACCTTTGTGTGCTGAAAGTTCATCTCAGCAGGAGGAGAATGCTGCGAATTCTGGGCTCACTGGACTGGTGGGCCAGCCTCTCCCCACCCAGTCCAAAATGCGGGAAAGGACATGGTCCCTGGTGGTGTGGCGGGACATGTCGGACACCTGAAGAGGATGGTTGGAGAGGTCCTCAAGGAGTAGGAGTTGATGTGCCGGAGCAGGGTCAGGTCACCCAGCAGGGAATTTTGGTCAGTCACAATGATGAAAGGCCTCCTGTAGAGGTAATCGTGGAACTTCTTGACCCCCACCACGATTGCCAGTCCCTCTTTGTATATTTGCGCGTAATTGCGCTCGGCTGAGGACAAGGTGCGGGAGTAGTAGGCCACAGGGACTTCCCTGCCGTTGGGTAGCTGGTGTCCGAGGACAGCTCCTACCTTGTACAGTGAAGCGTCACAGGGGAGGACAATGGGCAGCATTTCATTGAAGTGTGCAAGGATGGCATTCAAGGTGAGCAGCTCCTTGACGGCCCGGAACGTGGCGGCTTGCTTCTGGCCCCAGACCCAGTGGACTTTCCTGTTGAGGAGACGATGCAGTGGTTTGGTGTAGTGGTTAAGTGCGCGGACTCTAATCTGAGACAACCGGGTTTGATTCCCCACTCCTCCACTTGCACCTGGCTGGATGACCTTGGGCAAGCCGTAGTTCTGATAAGAGCTGTTTTTGAAAAAGAGCAGTTTCTGTTAAGAGCTCTCTCAGCCCCACCTACTTCACAGGGTGTCTGTTGTGGGGAGGAGGGGGAGGGAAAGGAGTTTGTAAGCCGCTCTGAGACACCTTTGGGTAGTGAAGGGCGGGGTATAAATCCAATCTCTTCTTCTTCTTCTTCTTCTTCTTTTTCTCCTCCTCCTCCTCCGTGACCACAGCTTTGTGGGGCAGGAATGAATGATAAAAGTTCAACAGCCCCAAGAAGGCCTGGAGTTCTGGCTTAGATGTGGGAGCTGGGGTGTTGACGATGGCGCAGACCTTGTTGGGGGCAGGATGGATGCCCTGAACATCGATGGAGAACCCCAGAAACTTGGGCCACTAGCTGATCCAGCTCCCTGTCGATCTTAGCCTTTAGAGTGAACGGGATGCACCTGGCCTTCAGCCATATGGGCCATACCTCTGGGTTGAGTTGTAGGGAGACTGGAGGTCCAGTGTAGTGACCAAGCATCCCATCAAAGACCACTGGGAACTTGTCGCACACCCTCTGAAAGTCTCTGGTGGCCACGTGGTGCACCCCAGTCACTCTGAACCCCATGGGCGTGAACCAAGCAAGTCCAATGAGGCTTGTGCAACTGCCTGTCACCACCAGTAAGTCCAAAGGTTTGTTGAAGTTCCAGTACTGCACTCAGAACTTGCCCTCCCCCATGATGGACACCTCATTTTTTTGAAAGTCTCGTAGGGTGAAACCCGCAGGCCATAGAGGAGGGCCCCTCTTACAACAGAGTCTCTTAAACATGTCCTCAGAAATTATAGAAATGGAGGACCCGGTGTTGAGCTCCATCGTGCAGGGGTTCCTCTCAATTGGGACAGTCACAGTGATTTTGTCAGGGGTGTCCCAAGGCAAGTTCAGTACCTGTTGCTGCTGGACAGAGGTGGTGTGTAGCTCCGCTCAGTGTGTCAATGTTGGAGTTGCCGCTGGTCACCTTCGGCTTCCCTTGGCACGACAGGCTCAGGTGATGTGGTTGACTTTACCACCGTTCCTGCACATGGCGTCCCAGAACCGGCAGGACCTTCACTCGTGGGGCTCTCCACAGCTGGTGCACGTTGTTGATGTGAATGGGATTTATTAGAATGCTATATACTGAATTTGCAATCAAATCACCCTGGTGCAATACTCTTATATTTGCTGCTGATTTCAGTGCAAAGATTGGTAACAATAGTAGTGTCAGCTGTAAATCTGATGTATGGACTGTTAAAGCACTCAACTTAGATCTCTCCACTCATTGTATTTCTAAAGATCCTGGTATAAATTATTGTGGGATAAAATCACAAAAACTGCTCACAGTGCGCTCAATATTTCTTTAACGAAAACCGTGAAGTTGTAAATATGAAATGTACAAAAGTAATAGTAATACATTCAAGTTGTAAATTCAGATACATAAAAATAGAAGATGACAAAATTTCACACATCATCAAGTAAGGCTTTGCACCAATTCTATGTTATTTCGATGTGCAATTACCAAGATGCAAGTATTGATGTTTACATATATATTATATTATTTATAAGCTTATAAACTCTTGGCTAGAAGAAGACGTTTGTCAAAACGGCATCACATTCCGGAGACCACCGTCCCGTCATTGTCATCTTCTATCTTTATGTATCTGAATTTACAACTTGAATGTATTACTATTACTAAGCACCCTCTTCAGGTCCTCTCGTTTCGTTTCAGCAACTCCCTGAAACCTGAGAATCATGTTTGCTTTTTCCATCTGTAGCTGCAACACTCAATTCTCTTGACAATTTTGCTTCGTTTCCACCTCTCCCATTCTTTTCTTCAACTTCTTGCTTGTGGTGTCTATCTCTTTAATCTTCTTGTTTGCCTGCTCCACTTTTTTCTCCGTTTCATTCAGCTGGAGCTGCTGTGCTGCAAAGTTTTTGTTCATCATGGTCAATTGCTGGATAATTATAAGTCAAACACAGGTGTTCTATGTTCTTTATCTAAAAAAGCTCTTTCCCATGTTGAAATATACCCTATACTCACACCTTCTTCCAGCAAGATTCTAATCTCCTTTTGGATATTTTTTGTTGGGTCATGTCCATCTGGAATATAATAAGTCTGGGGTTTATATCAATTTACCATCATACTAAGGGACTGTGTATAATAAATCAGTCATCTGTCACCTGGCATTTTTTCCTGTTTGTTCTGTTTGCACATTGTTGGGTGCAGTCCAGTTTTTCTTTATCCTCTAGTTTAGTTTAAACAGGATGTCTTCTGGTGTGAAGAAAGGGTTAGTATCAAGAAGAAGAGGTATAGATGTATAGCTCTTCAGTAACAACAACCAGTAGAAAATAACCTGTTGACATAGCAAAGCTTTCCCTCGGCAAGAGTCAGAAATACAGGATGAAATAGCAACAAATAGCAACAAGGAGAGCAAGTGGTCAGTGAAACCAAGATTTCTCGAAGCATGCTAGGAATGAGCATTGTCTGTGGGTTCCACATTATGTCTGAACTCAACCTGTATGTCAGTCACAAGATTCCCAGAAAACACAAGAGGTCAGCGCATAAGGGGAAAATGTAAAATTCTAGCCTGTTCTTTTATCTTTGCTTGCAATTAACATGCCATTATTTTGAGCCCTTCAAACATCACTTCCAGACAGCCTGAGCAAACAGTCTCTGGTCAGAGACTTATCCATATCTCCCTCCTCCTCACTAACAGCCACAGACAGCTAAATCTCCAAGCTACTGAATATTAATTAAATTATGCTTACCAGGAATGATTTTGTCAAAATAGAGAGCCAGCAGCATATATAAAATACTATCAATAATCAGGCTATAAAAACATGAGTCCTCCAGTATGTTAGACAAATGTAAGGCTTTTCCATATTTCTGACGCATGGTAACCTGTAAGGAAAGAACAAAATCTAAGCTTTGTCAGTCAGTCAGTCAGTTTGTCAAAATAGAGAGCCAGCAGCATATATAAAATACTATCAATAATCAGGCTATAAAAACATGAGTCCTCCAGTATGTTAGACAAATGTAAGACTTTTCCATATTTCTGATGCATGGTAACCTGTAAGGAAAGAACAAAATCTAAGCTTTGTCAGTCAGTCAGTCAGCCTTTATTGGCATAAAACAATACCTTAAAAGAGGATTACTATAAAACATATACATATAAAACCATATAAAACCAAGTATTGCATAATGTTACATAAAACAATTTGTTACAAAGTGTTGCTCGTTTTGATAGTTTTTCCTGATGTAGCTTTATAGCTGATTGTAAAAACATGGCTACCTTCACTGATATTTCAATAACAGAGTCATTCAGAAGACGGTGTACTTTTAAAGCATCAGAAAGGTCCATCATGTTGGCTAAAATAGGGTTTAAATATCTAAAACGTATATCTACATAAAATTGGCAGTGCAAACAGATATGTGAAACTGTCTCAATGCATCCAGAGTTACAATGGCAAAGTCTAGCCGTATATGCTATATTATTATATCTCCCATGCAAGACTGCTGATGGTAGTGCATTGAATCTTGCTAGTGAAAAGGCTCTGCGCTGTTGTGGTGCTTGTATATCAGATAGGTATGGGGCCATTCGCCCTACCATGAGAGGAATCTCAAAGTTCAGACGGGAGCAAGATTTTTTGGCTAAGCTGTATAGCCTTTGTGTTTCAATGTCAAGGACTCTGGGTTTAATCATCTGAAAAGCACCCATAAAAGGGAGCATGAGCAGTGAGTCCAATGGGATGTCCATAGCAGTTATTTTGTTCTCAATGTGTGGTAGCCAATTACACATGTTTTACTCTGTGAGCATTTGTTGTATAAGGCTCCCTTGGTCTACACTGTAATGTAAACACAGCCAATATTTTACTGTCATTAGCCATACACAGTCATTAGCACATTCCACAGAATTTAACCCAGTTTCTAAACACAAGGCTGCATAAGGTACACAGCGTGGCATTCCCATGATCTTTTGAAGAAATTTAGATTGAACATGTTCTATTGTGCCATTAAGTGCACTTATCCATACTGGAATACCATACATGAGTCAGGGGACTACTTTGGCCTTGAAGACTTTTAATGCAGCTGGTATGAATTGATTGCCTCTGGTGTAGAAGAATCAGGAAATGGCAGAAGCATTTATGTTGGCCATATTTATAGCTGAATTACGCTGCACAGACCAAGATGCATTATACTGGAAGTGCAGACCTAAGTATCTAAATTTTTTAAATTGTTCAATAGTTTTGCCTCCAATTGTCCATTTGAAGGGTTTCCAAGTTTTGGAAAAGACAAGTATTTTTTATTTTTCATGGTTTAAAAGTAATTTCTTTGTTATAAAATATGAAAGACATCTATTTAGTGAACGCTTTAAACCAACTTTGGAGCAGGACAATAGTACCATGTCGTCCGCATATAATAGTAGAGGGACATGGACAGAATCCAGTTTAGGAGCATGGCAATCAGCAGCTTTGAGGTAAGGGGAGAGAAGCTTTGTCAAAGTCAGATGGGCAAGGACAAGACTTGGAAATGTATGAATCCCTTAGTAAGCCCATCTAATATTCAGAATCTAGTCCCGACCCCTCACCATTTCTGTCCATAGACAGGTCTCTGTACATTTACCAGCAGAAGATATTTGAGAATGGAATGAAAATGCATATGCCACAATGCTGACTGGTGTTCTTGCTTCATTGATGTGTGTCAGGAATGTCCACAGTCAGCTTTATTATGATGTGGAGAGGTATGAATGTTCACCCAGATAAAACATAGCGTTCTACCTTTGAAATTTCAGCACCAAAAGCAAAAGGGCAGAAGAGGCTCAACATCCATTCCAAAGGAGCAGGCATTCTAAATATCAGTGTGGTAACACTGAGGGCTCCAAAAAAGAAAGTCAGGACAAAGGCAACAGAGCTGGTGGCTTTCGCCTTCTTCAGGAGAGAACTGAGCATGAAACAGAAATGGATCTGAAAAACAGGAAATATTTCCGTTACCAATTCAAAGGTATCATAAATATTTACCCCAGAAAGATGGTTTTTCTATAGTATACATGAATGCATGATGGAGGGAAGGCTGTGCCCATGTGTACACATATTTTATCTTACATATATAAATCAAAGTACTCCCTAGGAACTGGTAGCAAAGTAACTGTTTTCAAGTGTAACCTAAAAAGGGGTGTGCACAAAAAATTCAGTGTTTTGGGGGGTTGGGTATACCAAACCCGAAAAATATCAGTATATACTGATATTCGCAAATCCCAGTATCGGTATTGTACTGGGATTCAGGAAAGGATCGGTATTGCTGAAAATATTCATCTGGGAGGGCTGAAAAGGCTTCCTCCCATTCAAACCTGATGAGTGTGGTGGGTCTGCCTGTCAGCTGATAAGTTTGAATGAGAGAAAGCCTGAGAGAAGGCATGTTTAAATGCCTTCTCTTCCATCCCCAAGCCGCCAAGCTGCAGCAGGGCGATTTGCGGATGGAGGACAAGGCATTTACATGCCTTCTCTCTCTCTCTCCATTCCCTCTCCAAGCCAACCCATCACAGTGGGCAGCTAGGGAAGGGAAGGCAATGGTCAGTCCCCTTTGCTTGCAAGCTGGGCTGGCTGGGGAAGGGAAGACAGATTTGGGTGAGGAGGCATCTTTAAATGTCCCCACCCCTAATACATTGTGGCCATAGGTTAGGGATAACAGATAACTGTAGCCGCTCAGAGACCCCCTTGGGGGTTAGAGCGGGGTAGCAAGCCGAAGAAATAAATAAATAAATAAATAAATGCCCCCCTTCCCTTTCACAGCCTGCTAGCCACAGTGGGTTGGTTGGGGAAGGGAAGACAATGGTCAGTTTCAGTCCCTTCTGCTTGCAGGCAGAGAGGACTGAAATTGACACGATCTTCCTTCCCTTGCCCAGCCGGGCCAGCTGGGGAAGGGAAAACAGCTGGGGTAGGGAGGCATCTTTAAATGCCCCTCTTCCCTTTCCCAGTTGGCCAGCTGTGGTGGGTTGGCTGGGGAAGGCCAGGCAAGGCAAGGGTCAGTTTCAGTCCCCTCTGCTTGCAAGTGGAGAGAACTGATCTTCCTTCCCTTCCCCTGCCTGGCTGAAAAAGAGAAGACAGATCAGGGTGGGAAGGTATGTTTAAATGCCCCCCTTCCCTTCCCTTCCCCAGCCAGCCTGCCAGGTGGGTTGGCTGGGGAAGGGAAAGAAATGGTCAGTTTCAGTTCTCTCTGCTTGCAAGCAAAGAGTATTGAAATTGAGACAATCTTTCTTCCCTTCCCCAGCCAGACTGGCTGGGGAAGGGAAGACAGATCGGGGTGGGGAGGCATCTTTAAATGCCTCTGTAAGAAAGAGACTGGCTTGTGTGCAAAACAGCTACTCCAAAGAACTAATTGAGGACTTGAGGTGGGCAATCAACGTGGCAAACCATTGCAGGAACTGCTCCGTTTTAATTTTGCCAAGAGCAGCACAGCTGAGATAGCTTAATTAACATCTGGACTGGATAAAGGGAGGAGTAGTGTGTTAACAGGTTCTCCTAAGGATAAGGGGGGGGGGAATACACAGCATGCATCTTTTGAGCAGGATTTTTTCCTACCTTGGAGTTTGTGTAAGTTTCAGCTGATTTTAATGACTATTTGTATTTTGGCATCCATTAAAGGACATTGAATTTTCCTTTTGTTTATCTAATTATTGTTAATTAAGGTTGCCTTGCCCTTTCTTTGATAATAAAAGTACTTTTGCCTGATTCACTGAACTGGAGTGTAGACCCTGAAACCGGGCATCTTGGCAGAGAACCCAAACCCTGCATCATACATTGTGGCATGGTGGGCTTGGCTCTAAATTTAAAGTTCAAACAGGCAATAACATGACAGAAGGCTAGCAATAAGGAGTGTTGATCCATGGATTATTCGGAGGGTGTTACACAACATGGATCCAGCTCTAGCCTCAGCAGGATTAGGAAGATCCTTTCATCAGGATGAGTCCTTTTGAAGATACTCCTCTGAGAAGGTATTTGATACAAGACTAATTCTAGAAAAGTATGATGATAATGAAGCTGCCTTGAGGAGGAGGGTGCCACAATCGAAGATAGATGTGAAAGCTTGGCAAACAGAAGTACAGAATGATAAGGGAGCAGATATGGCGGTGATGGTAGATCCCAGGCGAGTAAATAGATCCACATTCAGAATGAAGCAAGATTTATTTCCAAAGCATGGTTGATCACGAACATACAAGGATTGTTAGCAATAACTCTACTACCAAAGGGGACAGTGTATATAGAAGGTTTGAAACAGGTTTAAACCAATGAGCATATTTCCCTCTTCAGGTTTACAGATTAGAAATGGCGCGTAACTCTGTGAGAACTGAAACAGCCATTCTAATAAACACGAAGTCAACTTCCCATGGGAACTAATAACAAGCGAGAGCGAAAGACATAACACCCATGTGTCTCAGCTGCATATTCTTGGCAGTTACAGAAGCCTAGGATGATAAGGTAAACTACAAGGTCAGGCAGGGGGAAGGGGAAGGGAACGAAACTCGTCCCCAGAGAAATGGCAGCTTGCTGACATAGACATGGCTCCAGCGGGAGGGCAACCAGGTGACCCCGTACAGCAGCTATGTATTCTGATGACCCAGCTCCTCGGGCAAAATGGGCAGCTGATGAATATGATGCAGCAGCATCTAGTAGGCAATCAAGGAGATAGATGGACAAAGTTAAAGTTTCCTGAGCTAAGACCTGGGAATGATGTGGCAACCTTTTCTGCTTTATTTGAAGCCTCAGCACAGGATTACCATTTGCCAGACACTGAATACATGGCAGCTCTGTGTAGGTGCTTGCATGGGGAGGTTGCAGAGTTACTTGCACAGCTTGACCCCCAGCAAGCAAGGGACTATTCATATTTTAAGCCGCTAGCTTTTCAGCAGTTTGGACTTTCTTTAAAAAAATTTTTTTTATTTAAATATAGAAAAAGAAACAGACATAAACATCAAGTACACACCCTACTCTCCATATAGAAAAAACAGCCTACAGTGTACATATAACAACAAAAAAGACAAAAAAAAGAATAAAAAAATTAAAAAGTAAAAAGCAAGCAAATTAAGGCATTGGTAGAGAGCTCAACATGTGGCATATAAGAGAAGAGAAGGAATTCTTTTCCTTTTTCTTTCCTGTAAACATGCATAATTAATATATAAATACAATATGATTAAAGTATACAGAGAGGCTTACTTAATTTTATCCCATAATCTAAGGAAGGGCTTAAACATACTTTGAGTATTGTTCTGAGTTGTGTATGAGTTAAAGTCATGCCACGTTTCAAAAAAGTCTACAGTCTTGGCTTTGGATTTCATTATTCTAATCTGATTTGTTAATTTTTCAGCTATTGCAATCTGCCATAACTCAGAATACCATGAGTGTAATGTTAATAATTCTGCGGCTTTCCAACTTTTAGCAACTGTCCTGTGTGCCGCAATTAACGTAAACACTATTTGTCCTTTAGAAGTCACCTTTTTGTTTTGTTTCTCCCATACTGTTAATAGGGTCAAAGCTGGTGTAACACAGATGGTTTGACATGTAATTTTTGCAATTTCTGCAAAAAAATTCTCCCAGAACTGTGACACTACTGGGCATAGCCACCAAATATGAATATAATCACCTTGCTGATTACACATTCTCCAGAATTTTTTATTATTTGTGTTGGTTATTCTTGCAAGGCAAACTGGAGTAAAATACCACCTGTGTGGTAATTTCAAGGAGTTATCTCTAAGAGCTATTGATATAGTTTTCCTTGTTTGGGTATACCATATCTTATTCCAAATACTTTGCTCAATATTTATTCCAATATCTTTCTCCGATGTTATTTTCAACCTATTTAGTGAACCTGAATCTATCTCAATTAAATAAGTAAATAAGCAGTTTGGACTTCCAACAGAGCAACTTTGGCCAAATTTTTGAAGGAATCTTACAGCTCGTTTGTCTTCTCTGGACTGAGTCAGCACAAGTGCAGATGTTTTATGATTTATTAAAACTGATAGTCTGGGAGCACATTTATCAAGTCATTCCAGCAGAGCATGCAGTGTTAGCACATGCTCAGAGACCTGCCACTGCCCAGGAGCTGGCAATGGTCTTGGATGAAATAGCTGCAGCAGACTATTCAGCTTCAAAGCAGCAAGGAGCTGGAAAGGAGCCAGGGGGAAATCTTACACCTCCCTCCGAGCAGTACAGACAAGAACAGCAAAATGATTCTAGGGCAGTTCCTAGGCAGCAAACTCAGTTTGTGGCCAAGATCCTGGTTAAGGAAGGAAAGGGGTTGGGAAATTTAATTTCAGCCCAGGTGATTTGTCACTACTGCAGACAGCAAGGACATATTAAAGCCCAATGTCCTAAACTGGTAGCTAGGGGGGACAGACATAAACCAGAAGGGCAAGTGGTCTCAAGTTGGTCCCACGTCCAGCTAAATGCCGAGGTGAAACAGCAGCCTGAAGATTGGAAAACAGATATTCAAGACCAATTAGTAACTGGTAATACAAGTGAAAGAGTGCAGGCAGATTTGGGGGATAAGTTGGGTCCTCGGGACTCTAGAGTGTTGATTGAAAAAACAGGGGTAAGAAATGAACCAAAGCAGGGAAAAGCAACAACCAGGGGAACGTTCAGAGATGAATTACATTGAGTTAGCTACCTTGCCAAAGAAATCTATTTCCTGTTATATTAGCCCAGAACAAGCACTCTGGTGTGTTAAAAAAAGGGTCATGCAAGTGAGGTTGTAAGATGCGGTGTGGGATAGTGGGGCCATGTAACACGGTGTGGGATAGTGGGGCAGACATGTCAAGTGTGTCTGAGGATATTTTTCATTGACTAAGACTCCGTGAAGATGGTAAAATAGAAATATGATCTTATTATGACTCCAACCCCAAAGAACAACTTGTTATATTCATGAAAGTAGGACTGGGGGATCGGAGTGATATCATTCCCTTTTTTAACCA